AACACTTAGAGATATTATGAGAATCTATATAGCCTGGCCAGCTTGATTACTCAAGTTTATCTACTTGTTTTCGATGGGTCTTTCATTAAAACGTGGCCACGGTCCAAACATACTTACGACCCACGAGGTCTAACAAGGGGCACGATCCCCATAAAAAAAAAAAAATCTTGAGAGCCTGATCCCCTCTTCAAGTACGTCACGCACAAGGCTATATGTAAACACATACAAGCAACGCGTCAAAACATTGACAATGTCGATAAAAAACAACTCCCACGAGGAGAATACTAGCTCCGTGCTACTTCATTATCGCGAGACAACTCCCACGAGGAGATAACTCGATCAATTCTATTACCCCAGAGACAACTCTCACGAGGAGATAACTCGATCAATTCTATTACCCCAGAGACAACTCTCACGAGGAAACTACTTGATCCGTGCTACCACATTATCGCGAAACAACTCCCACGAGGAGATAACTCGATCAACTATATTACCCCGCGACGAGACAACTCCCACGAGGAGACAATTCGCTACTACATCGTCGCGGGACAACACCGACGACTCAAATAACTTACATAGCGACAACTTAGTCGCGCTACGCGCCAATGCGCATTCACGCCCCTCCGACACACGCTCCAATGCATTTTCGCACACCATCAGGCCATATGCCAAAGAACAAACACTACAATTTTCACTCTCGACACGATTGAGAACCCATTTCGACATGGCCCCCACATCGACTCGAGAGTGGGGGGCTTAATGATATGCCTAATTGGGCCAACCCAATGGGCCTACAAGTTATTTACCTACTGGGCCACGAGCCCAATATTGAAGACCAATATCACCGAGGCCCAAACACCTTCAAGTAAGGCTTGGGCCCAACAAAGCAAACCCAACCCAATAAACGACATATAAATAGAGGTTTTCCTCATTTTATTAAGGTACGTCCTATTATCTGAGCAATACTACTAATGGTATTCTCTGGACTATTTCTATGATCAGCACGTCTGACTTGAGCGTCGGAGGGGTTTCCGCCGGATCAACCCCCGGCTTAGCTTATGTGTTCTATGATCGCAGGTACCTCAGGATCATCAAGTTGTCAAGCTACTGATCTGCTTTGCTCTCCCAGTTCGTTTTCTACACCACCCTAGGTGAGCTACATTTTAGCATCATCAATAGTCAACTATAATTAGTGAAATCCAACTACGAATATATGCTGTTTAGCATTAAGCTCATTATTAAGTGATAAAAATTGGCATCTTATCTCATAACTGTCTCACTAATTCCATATACCATATCACCTTTATTTTTTAATTTAAATATAGATATTGAATAATAAAAAATAAATAGCATGTGGAAAGAGAGATTAGTGGCAGATAGTGTTATTAACTGTTAACTGAGAATTGTTGAAAGAATATCTCTCTTGTTTGGACCGTTACTAGTAGATAAGTTCGTTATTGACAGTTGAAAAGGCTGTGGAATCATTAACATATTATTTACACCATTTTTTTTTAAATTGACAAAACGGAGCTCGGAAGTCACTCGAAACGTGTCCTCGTAAAATAACTCGCAAATTATAGATGAGATACGTAACTCACTCTAAGCTTTAACGAGCTGATAAATCTTTATTCTTCACTTTAATATTAGTGTTGCATCAAAAAATAATGCGTAAATTCCACTTTTTCTCCTTGTACTTTGGCTCGATATCACTTTACCCCCTTCTACTCTCAATTGCATCGATTTGCCCTCTTGTACATTGGTTCGATATCACTTTACCGCCTATTCTCAATTGCATCGATTTGCCCCCTTGTACTTTGGCTCGATATCACTTTATTCCATTGTACTCTCAATTGCATCGATTTGTCCCATGTACTTGCAAAATTATCTCAATGTGGCCATCGGTATTAGTTTTCAAACATTTGACATTAACACTGTTTGATCTAAATTTAAAATTACTAAAAAGTCACCCCGCCCAATTTAAATAAATATTAAAAAATAAAAACAATAATAAAAAAATTTTCAAGACAACGAGAAAACATAGTCTACGACGCCAGCCACGATTTTTTTTTTAAAAATAATTATTTAAACTGGGAGGGGTGGCTTTTTTGTATTTTTTAAAACTTAGATCAAACAGTGTTAATGTCAAATGTGTGAAAACTAACGGCGAGGGCCACATTGAGATAATTTTTCAAGTACAGGGGGACAAATTGATGCAATTGAGAGTAGAAGGGGATAAAGTGATATTGAACCAGAGTACAATGGGCAAATCGATGCAATTGAGAGTAAAAGGAGGTAAAGTGATATTGAGCCAGGGTACAAGGGGGCAAATCGATACAATTGAGAGTAAAATAAGGTAAAGTGATATCGAGCCAAAGTAAAAGAGAGAAAGTGGAATTTACAATGTTACAACTTACAATTAAAGCCTCATATTTAATCCAGCAAAACTCTGTTAAATTCTCATTAATTATAAAACAAAATAATTCCATACCATTCACATAATTGCGACACTTATCGTACCATTTTGTGAAAGGATTAGCACAATATTTAATTAACTAGCACCATTAACTAGGAGTCCACTTTGTTTAGGATACCTTCCCTGTTTGGCAGGTTAATCTTGGATTTGTAGCACATTAATTATTAAAGACAAAAGCATACTCCAACTTGTCTTGGCAGTTTGATTTAACATTTTTTTTACAATGTAATAAAAATAATAAAAATTGGCACTACTTGAAAAAAAAAACTTAATGCCTTGAATCATGGCCCTAATATTTTGCTAACAATGTTATTAATCAACTAATCACATTTCATTTCCATGCATATATCATAATCTGGTGTAGGGCTTGCAATCGGGCCTCATTACCATAGGCTCAAACTCATATATTATTGAGCCTCATTATTATAGTTTCAAATTAGGTTCATGTATTTTTTTTCGGAGTTCAGGTTTATATCGAGCTTACATCGAACAATATATAAAATTACATAATTTACAACTTTGCAGTCGAACGTGTTCCGAAAAAAAAAAAAAAAAACCCGTCGGGCTTCGGTTAGTCCCGATCCTAATCTCGTGTCAATCAAATCTTGGCGCAATTTTTTACTTATACGAATTTGAAATCGACCAATTAAATAAGCTTAAGAAACAGCATGTCATAGAAGGGATATCTCAATGTGAAATGAAGTAGTTAACTATATGAAGTCGTCTAGGTATGCACTTGGTTAATATATTTATTGTAAATTGACTATATTTGGTGTTGAAAACATTTAATAATGTTTCAGTTGGTAGTTAATGACATTAATAAATGCTTCACTAATTAAATTTCTGGAGCCATGTGCAAGAATCGTACCAATTTTCCCAACATGTACAAAATTAAATAAGTAATTCAACAAGAGAAAAAGGGCAAGTTGTCTTGTGCTTTTCTTGAGCACACATTCTTGTAATAAATGGAGGGAATTAGCTCTCCGTTTTTCAGTTATCAAACAAACTTTAAATCCGACTAGTTAGTATATATATGCAGAAATTCATGTACATATGTATGTATTACCTCGTGTGTTCTTATTCTTTAAACTGATGAACCATTTTCGGAAAATCGGAATTCATTATCGAGAAATTAACCTTACTTTATATATTCGAAGGGACCAAAAATGTATGAAATTATTTCAAATTATAAAGTGAAAATGTAGTCTAAAAAAGAGGCGGAGAAATGTGGTTACACACTAGTATAATTATAAATGGTCAATTACAAAAAACTCCTTGAACTAAGGTTAAATAACGAAAAATATCCCCACGTATTTGTAATAAACAAAATCCCCCTCTGATTAACTTTTGATCGAGTTTTTTTTAACATAAAACGTGTACAGTCTATTATACTAGACACGGCCACGGGTCGGGTTTGACCCGGACCCGACCCGTTAAATGCCCCGCCCCGGCCCCGGCCCTTTAAAAATCCGGTCCGGACCAGGCCCGGAACCGGGTGGACCCGAGTGGACCCGCCTCGGACCCGGACCCGCCTCCCCGCGGGTCGGTTTCGGGTCCTCTAAAACTCGGACCCGGACCTAGCGGGTCCGACCCGCCCCGGGGCCGTGTCAATATTATACCGGTAAGGGGTTGGTGTAAGATGGAAACAAACCTTAGAGGCTTTTGGTAATTACCAATAGATGGAGGTGGTTATTGTAATTTAACCTAAGCTTAGGGGTGTTTTCGTAATTTACTCATTAAAATAATAAATAAATAAATAAAAAGAGTGGGAACCCCCACTTGAAAGAAGTCAGAATTCAACACAAAACAACCCACAGAAATAAAGTGAAATTACCAATTTAGCCACAACAGCATCAAAAACCTGTTTTGGTGGTTTAAAATTAAATCCCCAGCAGTTTATGGTCCCCTGCATCAAAGTTTCAGTTACTTCTGTGTGAGAACTGAGAACTACTCACTGTACAACCAAGAAGAGCCTCACCCCCCCCCTTCCAATTAGAAAGAAAGAAAGATAAATAAGACACTTGATATCTGAGAATGAAAACTCATTTAAAAGCTCAAAGGTCAAAATTATACCTCTAACTTGTCTTCCTTAGCCCTATGATTTTGTGGAAGAACACGGAATTCCTGTGTCAATCGAAGACACTCTTGGACATTTTCTGGTGAGACGAAGTCAAGCGCCACATTTATGCAAGACTGGTATGGAATAAACATAAACAAATTGCTTTTTGGCCAAAATTTACTATAAAATAACAGATAGATTTCTATAGATATATATATATTTATATACGTATGTTTTATCTATTTTTTGTATCGTATCTATAGATACATATATCTCTATTTTTTTTTTATTTTTTTTTTTTTTTTCTTTTTTTTTTTTTTTTTTCTTTTTCATTTCTCTTTGTGTACAATAGACTTGAAAGTAAATAT